ATTTAGCGATTTTTGGTATGTGGTCAGATGGGATTACTTGATTTTAGTCTATTTAGCGATTTTTGGTATGTGGTCAGATGGGATTACTTGATTTTAGTCTATTTAGCGATTTTTGGTATGTGGTCAGATGAGATTACTTGATTTTAGTCTATTTCGCGATTTTTCTTCTGACAACAGTTATCGATTTTGAGATGTGGCTAGAAGATTGTGAACCTTCGTCAATTTCAAATTATTTTTATTGTCTTGCTAATGGTGGTACCATGAGATATGATCATTTTCATCACAATGGCTTTATGGGTCAGAGGGTTCTTATTTGTAACCATAACCGTCCCTTTGTATATGAGGGTGTTACTCAGGGATGGCTTGGGATACGAGTTCAGAGGTTGTTGTTATTATAAATGTCCTGTTTTGGGAGTTTTTCTATCTCCTTCAAAATTCTGTGTCTTTTGGCTCTAGTTTAACAATCTTTCTGTACGAATTTTATTCCTCGTAAAGAACTGTAACACACGCTACCCCAGCCATAAATCATCTCCGGGCGGTATTACTCTGTCGAATAGTCAGGAATTCGCCATAAACCAAATGTATAGGTACTATAAATGTAGCAGCACTGTATTAGGAAATGCAAATCGTTTTTATAAAATGCGATTATTTTCTGTGCATTTTTGACCTTTGAATTATTTTCTTTTTGTTATTTACAGAATTGGTTGAGAGGTTTATTAAACGGTTTAAAAAGCTTGCAGAACGATGCAAGAAAAGGTGTGACGGGAAGATTCCCAGACTTGAAAATGGACTGCGGCTTCAAAAGGTAGAGCAGAGCTCACAATGTGTCGGCCAGAACATCCCATTCGAAAAGTAGTAGCTTATTTATTATTTTCTTGTTAAATAATAAAATTTTAGAAGATGAAAATAAAGATTCTGATTTTGATACTTGTGATCATTTGTGAAATTTTACGCTTAAACTATTAGATATTTTCATTGCATTCCGTTAGTTTGAATTTTGCCTTATGCATCTACAAGGTTTCATTAATTATTAAACACCTATAGTCTGTATCCACCAATCCGTGTTGCATTGATTAATTAATGATAATAAAAAACTAAACTTTAATCTGGATGGTGTATGTTTCTCATAAACGTTTCTTTTTCACAAACTTCACAGCTCATGCAGTTTAGTAGTGGAAAGTTTTGTACTACCTGAAACTAACAAGCAACGTGCAATACGACCTTTTCAGAAATTACATATCTATATGAGTCGTCTAGGTGGTAACAAGCATCACTAACGAATTCTGATTAAAACCTTAAAATTGAAAATTTAAGTATTTCTAGTGACTTTGATCTAGAGAACATATAATTCAAACTGTAACCCTTCTGTGTATTTTATATGCTAAATTTAATGTAATCGTTTTAATAGATTCTAAATCTATTAATGCAATAAGACACACGATTATAATTGTGAATGGCCACATTCAACTACTGCAGTAAAGGGATGTAAAATTAACAATTTTTATCATTAGTTAAGAAATTAATCTTGCAAATAGAGGGCATGTTTTCAATATTAAGTTGTAAGTTCTGAGATGTAGAATTGAAACTTGTTGAGTAATGAAAATATATGTTTGGGTATGATAAGGTGTCATTATGACTTAGTGTAAAAATGCTTCACTCACCAAAACGAAATATTCTGGGATATAGAAGGGTTTGGGTTAAACGTTGCGTTTGTAGGTTGAAAGTTAATGAGCAACACCCACAACGTTCATAGGACACTTCACAAGTTCCCATGTGTCTGGGTTTGGGTTAAACGTTGTGTGTGTAGGTTGAAAGTTAATGAGCAGCACCTACAACATTCATAGGACACTTCACAAGTTCCCATGTGTCTTCTTGATAAATCATACACAGCTTCCTGTCCATCATTTCACCGTTATCTGTATATGTAGAAACAAAATGTTAAATGTTTACTGCCAATACCAATTTATTTCTATCAGCTCCAACACACGAATATTATAACTTAGAGATCTATAAATGATACACAGCTACATCCCAGTGTATTCTGTGTAATAGTAGGCAAATACATATTAACTGCATTTGTCGCATTTGTGTAGGTGTTTCATGTACCCAAATAAGAAAATCTGGTAAAAATGGAAAATCTTCACACTGAAGCATTCGTTTCGATAGAAACTATCAGAAAGTCAAAGTTCAGGACCAATGATATTACCGAAAAAAAGTTGGATGCCTTTCTGACACACTCTCATCATCTTGGTTTCCTTTTCTTCAATTGGTTTGTATTTTTGATAACAAACATAATAATAAAAAATTTTCATTGTGGTAAACGATTTGAAAACAATCCCTATGTGATAGAAAAAAGTGAATATTATTTTCGAAATCTGCGTAGATGAATCATGGAAAATCTGTTATTGAAACCAAAACAACTTTTATGAAGTTTAAATTCGCAGTGTTAAAATTAACATTGATGTCAAACGAATATTCATCCTCATTCATCCCGATTTTTTGTTTGAAATCTACGTTATTTAGTCTCAAAACTACGTGTTGTGGCCCTTATTTTATGTATTGCGCCTGGAGCATCTCGTTTCAATGACAGTAATCAGCCATCATGTTGATGTTCCACCTTCCCTGATATCTCCTTTCCATTTCCCTGATGTCTTGATGAAACCTTTCCCCTTGTTCTTCGCTGACGGCACCCAGATTGTCAGGGAAATAGTCAATATGTGAGTGTAAGAAATGAACTTTAAAGCTCATATTACAACCCAAATCTTTGAATTTAACGAACATGTTATATTTTCGTAATTTGGGTACTGTTGTTTCTAAAAAAAAATTGTTAATAACAATTTTTGAAGGCAATCCAAGCTTCTTTTTCAACTTTCTTCATTGTCCTTTCGAACTGCTCATCCAAAGCCAAGTTCCTAATCTGAGACCCAACAAAAATCCCTTTTTTAAGTTTCGCTTCTGAAGAAGCTGGGAATTGCCCACATAGATACTTGAAACAGTTGTCATCTTTGTCTAAGACCTTTACAAACTGCTTCACCAAGCCCAGTTTTATGTGAAGTGGAGGTAATAGGACTTTCTTTGTGTAAATCAAACTTTCACATTCAATATTTTTCGATCATGGTATCAGGCTGACTCTGCGTGGCCATTGCTTCTTTATTCAGTGCTGATTTCGTGCTTTGATGTCCCATTCACACAAAAAACATGGAACTTTGTATAACCGGATTGTTGACCCAATAACATACAAAGGACTTTTAAGTCTCCACAAAGTAGCCAACCATGTTCTTTGTATTTGACCTGATTAAGAGTTCGAGATTTTCGTACGTTTCCTTCAAGTGAACCGAATGAGCAATAGGAACAGATGCATATATATTACCATTGTGAAGGAGAACACCTTTTGGACTTCTTTTGGAGGAATCAATGAACAATCGCCCCCCACTTGGTTCATAGACTGCAGCTCCTAGCATTGGTATTAATTCAGCAATATTGTTGCAATAAGCCAGTGAATCTTCTTACGAAAAGTATGGTATAAACTCTTTCTCACGATTATTAAAACCAAACAACTTTTATGAAGTTAAATTCGCAGGCCGTGTAATGTGAAGAGAGAGAATCATTTAGTATGCTATTATAAATATTTAATTTGTTTGCTTGTAGTATAAGCATAAAGCTACACAATTGGCTATCTGTACTTTGCCTACCACGGGTATCGAAACCCGGTTTCTAGCGTTGTAAGTTTGCAGACATACTGATGTGCCCCTAGGGGCTATAAATGTTCAAACTGTAATAAAGAAAACACAAAATATTAATGTTTGTTATATTAAGATATTTGTTTATTATTAAATAGATGGAAAGAGAACTAAAAATATAAAATAAAATTGACCATAATGATAATACAGAACTAATACTGTATTAAGAATTATAGAGAATGAAATAGCATAGCATGATACAACTTGACAATCATGTTCGGACAGGATCAACAACATTCCCTGGTAGTTTGCTCACGAACCACATAATAGAACGTCAACTTGCACAACTGACTGCACCACTATTGACGATCCATATCTTTGACTATCCATATAGGTGATCTCATCAACCCTAGTTGCAATCTGTGGAACTAGCCACCATCTAGGGGCAAAGTTGGAGACTATCCACCCTCTACTAACATTATATTAAACTATGGTATAATAGATCACGTGACTTTCCGACTCAAAGGATGTATATACTTGGTTGTAGCCTTTGATCTCTCCTCCCAGTCGTATCATCAGGTGGAAATATCCTTTGAAACAGGCTAGAAACCATAACTACTTAGGTTATGTTTTTAATCTAAACGTTTATAGAGTATTATATTGCTGATTGTTTAGATGGAGGTTAGATGTAGCACGATAAGCGTGATTAACATCTGGAACTTGAGCAATACATAACACGAGTTAGACTAAAGTAAACAATCATTTGATATATCTAGCAAGTTTATTAACTAGTTCGTCTGTTACTGGCAGACAGTTAATTCAGTTTTGAGAACACCGAGCTTGCGTTTTGATAAAGATATATTGATACAAGAAATACTGTAGATACGAGGAAATTATCCAGTACGTGACAGTTTAGCACTATTTATGAAATTAAAGCTATTGCTTGGCGAAAATTAGACTATTACATGTAGTTTGTTGAACTTATAGTCAGAGAAATAAAGTGGACTGGATTTTGCATCCTTTTTATACGTGAATTGCCCATGCATCATGTGGAGTACAGAAGCTTCCCAAAGCTGGAGTGGCTGTAACTTTATGACTATTTGCTGTTCACATAAATCCATCTTCTTGTCTCATTTCTCGAGTCAATTTCCAGATTTCATTACCAGATAGATCGAATAACCATAGTCATAGAATCAGTATCAGTCAACATGTCACAAGGCTTTTCGCCAATAAATCAATTGACTCGTGTACTGTTTCCTATAGTGTACACCTTATATCAATTGGGGCAGATGAAGTATCCCATCTTTCGGATATAGTCTCCTTTGTTTATTAATAATGGTTGTTTCTTCATAGTCTCATATTTAATGTCCGTGTTTTTCACACTTACAGTAACTTCCTCTTCCTGTCATATTTTGGAAGTAATTTTAATTTCCAATATAACCTTGTCTATATTTCCTGCAATATGCTACTTTAGTTGTAGTTGAAACACTTTCTGCTCCGTGGTTTACGTCTTCCATTCTAAGTAAACATTTGTCTAATTAATCCTTTGACTTCTAGACGTCTATTAGAATGAGTTGATGTTTTCACACTATTTTATTTGATAATCCCATCATTCTTGGGTGTCCTTTGTTTTGATCATCTGCAATTTTACTTTATTCAATTTACATTACCAACTACACATCCTCCTATAAAAATGTACACTTACTCTGAGTGTAATCTTCAAGTCCTCACAAGTCATGTGTTAAGGAATCCATCATGCCACATGAAACATATGATATTATCTTGTACTTCATCTTTTACTTTATTGTTGTCCTTGTCCTTTTCTACTTCTTTAATTTTGTTAATATAATCCTTCAAGTAATTATCCGGATTGTTGCGCATCACGCCGCCAGAAGGCGCCATCTACGTGTCGACCTCAGGCAAAGGGGGAGAAAAGGGGTAGAGACAATGATGTCACCATATACAATTACGTCATAGTTTCACACAGTGTCACCAGAGGGTACATTGCTAGGATAGGGAAAAAAAATGGAGAGAACGTTGCTAGGCGTGACGTGCTGATAGTGTTACTTTAGGACACCTACTGTTTCACTTTCACAAGTCAACGAGAGAACTATTATAATATACATATTATCCAATATTTGAATGAGGCAATTATTATAACCAATAATTTACTTTAAGTACTTTTATTGTCCTGAAAAGGACGTTTATTTTGCTGTGACTAAATATATTAAACGAATGACTTACTGTTTATCTATACATTTTCTATAAATCATTCACTTGAAGACTAAAATTTCTTCTTTGGTTTGGTTTGTTCTGAATTTCGCGCAAAGCTGCATGAGGGCTAGCTTTCCCCAATTTAGCAGTGAATGACTAATAAGAAAGTAGCTAGTCATCACCACCAACTCTCGGGCTACTCCTTTACCAT